AATTAAATATTAAAATTATACCCAAAAATATAATTTAAATTGTACACACTCTTTATATATAAGTTAATGAAAAACGGGTTAACAATGCCTTTTTATAATAAATGAATAAAATATAATTTTTATTACAGTATATTATTACTAATAGTATAATATTAATAATAAAATAATACCATATTATTAATAATATTTAATTATTATAATATTAATTAAAAATAAATATTCTTCCTCATGTTCATTAAAACACACACCAACTACATAACTTTGCAACAATAGCTTTAGTCAAAATTTTGGTTCTTCTGATTGATTCCTATGAGTAATTTCAGAACAAATACATAAATAGCAACATATAAACTGAATATTGTCTATATATATCCTCTTGACAGAGCTTGATCGCAGTCAAGCAGGTTAGTTCACCCAAAAATGAAAATTCTGTCATTAATTACTCACCCTCATGCCGTTTCAAACCCGTAAGGCCTTCGTTCATCTTCGGAACACAAATTTAGATATTTCTGATGGAATCTGAGAGCTGTCTGACCCTGCATAGACAGCAACGCAACTGAAATGTTCCCAAGTCCAGAAACGCAACAAAAAGTATATAATTGATGTTGAACCCCTGATGTCACATGGATTATTTTACAGATCTCCTTGCTACGTTTCTGGACTTGGGAACATTTCAGTTGCGTTGCTGTCTATGCAGGGTCAGAGCTCTCAGATTCCATCAAAAATATCTTAATCTGTGTTCCAAAGATGAACGAAGGTCTTACGGGTTTGAAACGACACGAGGGTGAGTAATTAATGACAGAATTTTAATTTTTGGGTGAACTAACCCTTTAAATATGTGACTTGTTCTCTGCCGAAGCGAGCGCAGCGGCGTCCCATCATGCCTCAGTCCAGGCTCCGCCTCCTCCAGTCGGCTCTGATTAAAGCTCTCTTTGATTCTCGCTGCAGTCTGATTACTGGAGAGCCTGTCTGGATGATTAAATCACGATTAAAGTGCTTGGCTGGAGTGAGCGACGCTCGGGATGCTCTTTTCGTCTTGGGCCTGTCCGCTCAGAGTGTTTCGCTTTAACGGTTTGCTGGAAAGGCCACTCGACTGATGAGGGTTGGAGTCGTTAAATGAGCGGTTCTGCTAGCAGTCGCTCGCTTGATGGGATATTCAGGCATTTCTAGAGAAAGACCTACTGCTGAGACTCATGGGAAACACGATTATAAGACATCTAACAGTATTTTGGCTCAGAATGGATACAGAACTAAATTTAATTGCGTTATTTTTACCCGAAACACTTTGTAATTAATGTAATCTGCAACAATGTGCTTCCAAAAACAAGAAGAAAACAATGATGTGGTATTACCTTGTTTTTATGGCATGATTTACATCAATATTTAAAATCAATATTAATTTATACATATTACTAAATACTATTAATACTAAAATGATGCTCAAAAATATAATAAAAATAAAACAATTATATAATGTAAAAATAATAATAATAATATAAATACAAACATGCTAGATTTATATTTTAATATAAATGCTATATGAATAAATAATAATATACCATGGTATTACCATGTTTTTACCGCATGATGTACATTATAAAATATAATATGTATTATGTATGTATATGAATCAATATTTATACATATAAGAAATTAATAAAATACTCAAAAATATAATGAAATAAAATATACAGAATTAATATATCATTTCTAATATATAGCAATTATATATAATAATTATATATAATAATATAGTAAACAATATTTTTTTTTAATATAATTTATGGTTACACTTTATTTTAAGGTGTCCTTGTTACAGTGTAATTATACATTTACGTACTGAGTAATATTAATTAACTACATGTACTTACTATATTGTTAGGGTCAGGATTAGGGTTTGGCTTAGGGGTACTTGCATGTAATTATGCATAATTAGTTTTTTTATAATAGTAAGTACATGTAATATGTGTAATAAGGACACCTTAAAATAAAGTGTTACCTAATTTATATATAAAATACATATTTAATATAAAAAAAAAAATATATTATTAGCATCAGTATTACTGTATTAAATCCATGATTTACTATGTTTATTAGATATATGTCATGATAATACCATGACACTCTTTGCAGTAAATACCATGGTATATACATATAGTAATCATTCAATACCATGGTATATGTGAACATACCATGGTATTACCATATTTTTACCTCATGATGCCAAGAAAACATGACATTCTTTGAAAAGTCTTGGAGTACCATGGTATGTAAATATAGTCATATTTAATATCACAATGTCAAAGTACCACAGTATTTAGATGATTTCATACATGATACCATGATAATACTGTGGTTTTTGGACATGTACCATATTAATACCACAATATTCTTGGAAATACCTTGGAGATATAATGGTTTTTATATGGTACATCCAAGAATATCATTGTAAATGTCCAAAATAACACGGTAGTATTATTTTTCATAAGAACACCATGATATTCTCTGAAGTGCTTCAAAATACCATGTAAATACCTCAGGAAAGGTATGGTATATGAACACGGTAATCATTCAGTACCATTCGGCACAATATGTTTTTGTTGTATTTCAACGATTTGTATTGCAACGATTTGTATCGTGAAAAGCGCTATACAAATAAACTTGAATTGAATTTAATATTTCAGGACTCACCCGAGCATCCGTCACTTTAAACTCTCTGAGGATGTACTGCGGCATGTTGTACTCTGCCATTGGATCCACCACAAAGTACTGATATCTAGCGGAGCGCTCCGCCGGCCAGTACTGGTGACACTTTTCCTGCGAAAACAAACGAAAACATAATTAAATCATATGCTCTGGAAGCCGAAAGCCAATGGTCTTGAAGAGAGACACTCACTCGTCCCATCTCCCTCAGTTTGGTCAGCATCACCACGATGGTGGAGTTGTTCTCCCACAACATCCTCCAGAAGTCTTCAGTGGTCTCCGCTAATGGCCCCTGTGTGGATATATAAGCCTTCTGTTGTCTACAGGAAAGAGAAAGTGAGTGCCTGTGAATTAAGGTGCTCAAATTGGTAAAACGAATGACTTCGGGTTGCTTTCCCACTGCAGATCGCTGTCGTCGTACCTGTATCCGTCAATGAAGCTAGCATTGATATAGTCGGATCCCTCCAGCCCTCTGATGGGCTGCAGGCACACTCGAGTGGTCTCATACGGCATGATGTTTACCAGGCGGTTTTTAAATTTGTTGCATGGCAGATTGGCACTTATGAATCTGGACGTGTGGGCTTTGGAGTTCGCCAAACGCTGTGGGAAAAGAAAGACGATTGATCAATCCAAGCCAATCTCTAAAACTCAAAACATTTACAGCTTAAATAGAGTTTACTTCCAACACCGTTACGGATATTTAGGCTTGAAGGACATTACTTGCTGCATGGGAATCTCAGGCAGTCATTTAACCGTTCTGACCTTTTATTTTTGGTGTAATGCCTCTATTTTTCTCAGTCTCAGACTGTTTATAAATGGGCAAGACTGGGTGACCCAGTTTACTTGTGCTCGCAGGAAACCTGTCAATGCTCGTTGCTGTTATAATGACCAAAACCCACATTTTTCGTCCATCAGGTGGCACGAAACCCTGCTCCAAAACAACCGGAAGGTCATGCAACTTTGGCGGCAATTGGCAAAATGGGTCACTGTTTCTTTTAGGATGCTGCTTTATATTCATACTCTGACTGGACACCACCGTTTTGTACACGCACATACACCTCGTACCCTCGTCTCATGATCCAAATTAGAGCTTGTAACCATCAATTAACATCAACCGAGCCACAGTACCCACAATTCTTCTCCGTTTTCTAGGTCAGTTGTCTGGAAGCATTGTCTCCTTTTAACTGGACGAGTCTGGCACATCTAGAAACTGTGCCGCACTCTGTCTCTCTCTCTCTCTCTCTCTCTCTCTCTCTCTCTCTTCTGTTCTGCCAGGTAATGCCTTTGCCCGGTTATAAATCCATTCAGTTCCTGCTCCAGGCCTAGTCTTTTTTCTCTTTCTTTCAGAAGCAGCCATTGGCTGTTTGTCTTTCCTTTGAGTCTTTGAGTAGCTTTCAAAGAGGGACCTGGAGGGGCATGAGGCATTCCGGTGGGAAGCGCCAACTATGAACCGAGCTGTTGAAATAATAAGCACACACACACACACACACACACTTTGGCTAGTTTAGCGGGCCGGGGTAGAGTTTAAAAGAGGTTTTTGACATGGTTAGCCCTGTAGGCACCTTATTAGCACTAGCACTCTCATCGTGTTGGCAAAAGATTCTATCCCCCATGCTAACCATATAAATATGACAAATAACAGTCATAAATTATGTGTTAATTTAAAAAGTGACGTGTGACTAAGTATACCACTGAATTACCAGCCTAGCACAACTCTAACTGATTGGTCTGCCATCTTAGCATGTTGCTATTTGATTTTGTTGCTAGAATGGCATACCACTACTCAATTAGCTAAAATGATGCTACTTCATATTTTCGCTCACGAGGAACCGTTTCTGACCAATTTGCAAAGCAATTCAGACATTTTGCTAACTAGTTTGATGATCTCTTTTAAGGAACTCATTCAAGTCATGAACTGGACATTGCGAGCTGTGCTTTAGCAACACTAGATGCACAACTTGATTACTAAAATAGCATGTTTGACAATACTACTCAATAAAAAGAGCTTTACTACTACAATTTTTAAAAATAGAAATGCTATCACCTTGCTACTTGGACCCATCGTTAAACTAATTGGTTTGCCACCTCACTAATGCTCCCAATGCCACTCCCTGAGCTGGTGAGGACTACTTTGTTCCAAGCTAAAGAACGAGCCTGAAAGAGCAAAAGATCTGGAAAGAAGGAAAAGCTTTTCAAGGCCTTGGAGGCCAGAAACCTGCAGGGGTGTTTTAGTTGCCAAATGGAACCCACAATCCCTGTCTGCTCATTAGTGAACACATCGCTTCTCCTCAACATCCGTCTTCACTGGGTGTTAATTACCCTTTCCACAATCCCTCTCTGGCTGTCATCAACTTTGGTTGTCTCTGTCACAACTAGAGCTAGAGTTTCACATCTGTATCTACAGTAACAAAACATGCCATCAAGAGGTGTTGATTGTTACTAGCTCGATTATCTTCCTACTTTTCATATGTCTTGTGGTTACCTTAAACTCCAGCTCCATGCCGCTGACGTGCTCTCCGGTCTCCACCTGTGCCAGCTTCTGGATATAGGAGAAGAGGCTTCGTGCTGCCACCTCCGTGTTCCCGCAGGCGATGGCCTCCAGGAGGGCATCGTGGATGAAGCTGTACTGGTCTTCCGTCTGCACCATGTAGTTCCTCTGGGAGCGCATAAGGGTCACGTGACCGTAGATGTCCACCGTCTTCTCATGCTTGATGCGCTCTAGCATGGCGTCAATCACGATGAAGCAGCCTGTGCGGCCCACGCCAGCACTGAAAACACATGTTGCACAAGTCAGGGATGAAAGTTGCAGAAAAGTTTGGTTTCATTACCAAGAACCAAAAGCCAACTTTAGGGAACGATACCAAACTTGACTACAACTTTGAACGACGAGACTTCCTGACCAGTTTCTGGCTTTGAGAGCCCTGACAAGTAGGAACAAGGTTCAGACCTGCAATGGGTGATGATGGGGCCAGCGTCCGGTGGATTGCAGGTCTTCACCCTCCTGAGAAAGGCCAGGAATGGAGTGGGGTACTCGGGAACGCCGTGGTCCGGCCAGGCGGTGAACTGGAACTGTCGGACCTCTCGCTTTTCACTGGAACCATTCTGAAAGAAGAGCAAGTGCTGTGATGCTAAGTTGCCTGAATGCACAGAAATAAATCTTACCGGTTATGTGGCGATAAATCTAGCCCTAGTTCTATTAATGCACGATTTAATTGTGTTAGCATGAGTTCATGGAGCTGTCTAGCAGTTCAAGGACCTTACATGCCAGTGTCATAAACATGCTATGATATACACGTTCTGGAATCGCCTTGTGTCACCAAAATGTCTTCTACAGTGTATTTTAACAAAACAAGGGAGCCAGGAACATGTCTGCCGCAGAGGAGATTTCGTTAAGAAGAGGGAGAGACATCAGTGTCCTGCTAGTTCTAGCTGCTAGCCTTTATTTCTCATCCTGGACGTCTTTAAAGGGAGGTTTTGCATCTCAATGTCGCTGCTGTTCCAACAGAGTCTTCCTTTGAATAAATGAATAAATAAACGATGTAATTAAGAGCAAACTGGCCCAGTTTTGCCAGACACTTTTTTCCCTCCGGCTGTCTTCTGCAGGCTGTTTCTCTGCAGTGGATGGGCTTGTGCAGGATTGTTTTTAAGAATTCATGACTCTGGGGTTGACTTTGTGTGTGCGACTGCAGGATATGCGCACACATAAATACACCTTACTGTTTCAGCAAGTATGTGTGTAAGGGTAGTAAGCAAACTCTGAATATTCAGCCCAGCAATGCAATACAACAACTGTGGTGCAACAAAAACACACCTCATCTGTATTCGAAGATGTCCCTTTAGTTAAAAAAAAAAACAGTAAGCCATTTCATCTATTCTAGACTGTCCAAGAAGACAATTTAATTGCTCATTCATAGCTCAGAAGATCTCTTCTGAAACTAGTGAATTACTGGGACAAATCTGAGAAGATCCAATTACTTTCTGTGCTATCTAGGAGAATCAATTGAGATATTGAAGAGATCTCATTTCTCTTTCCTGGGGCTTTAAACGAAAGCATCATCCCGTAACCATAAGCACGCTCTTCATGCTCTGTACGACAGTCTCTCTTTAATCAATGCTTCTGTTCGTGTCTTACGGGCGCCCTTCACTACAGTAAAAGCTCAATCCATTTTAATTCACGTTACGGTCTGACCGTGCAACTGGCTGACCCCTCTCTATTTCTCTCCCTCGCTCCCAACCACTTCATGTTTACTTGACCGCTGCGCCGTCTGGGATGCCAATTTTGCATGGAGTCGTTTTGCTCGGGCCACTTAGCTAAGTGCCTCTCTTTGGCAGGCGTAGCATTAAAAGATGATGGATGTGGAATGAGGAGATTATAAAAAAATGTGCGTGTGTTGATGTATGCAGTCGAGATGAGAACGCTGGGAGGGTTTCGGAAAAACTTTCCCGTTTGCAGTCATCCCAGTTGTGTATGTCTATCGGAGCCCGAAAGCAAAACTGTGTAATGTGTCTGCTCTAAGGTCCAGAGGGAAATAAGAGGCCCATGCACAACGTAAAACTCTTTAAAACGTCTAAAGCAAAGTGTTCCTAGGAAAGGGAGCACATATTATCTAGGAAATGCCTTTTTTGTGGACACAAAAAGTCTTACCTTGTGTAGAGAGAAGGTGCGCACACAGAAAGTGGCGAGTTCGATGGTGTCCAGGAGCGTCACTTGGATCATACCGTAGGTCTCCGTCCCTCTACCTGGCCAGTACTGGTCGCACTTTATCTGCAGAGGGTGAGGGAACGTTAACATACCTTATGTCTTTCATGTGGGTTTAGCTGTCTTTTTTGGAGGTCATTGACTCAGATTTACACAGACATCTCTATGCAAATGCCTCCCAAATTTCAGTGTGCTGAGGAATTACAGTGCCATTGAAATAAATCTCACCAAGATCGAATCAAATAATTATCTGGGAGCTAACTAAAGCCTTTTTCAAAGACACTAAATTACTTTGGATTCTCGAAAATGAGAAGTAAGACTCGTAACAGTCTCTGATTCACAAATAACCACTCAGTCCTGGGGGTTCACACCTGCAATCTCAAACCCTTCCCGTCTACCCACGTCACATCAATACCCAGGCATAATGTTTTTCTTCCCTCCTCCGACACCTGGCACATTGACAGACCCCTGGCCTGCTGTAAAGATGCACTCAATATGGAGCATGGCGAGCAGTCGGGCTGCCCTCCGTGCCCTGATGCGATGTGACAGTTCGCTGCTTCAAAAATGTGCAAGTTTAATGTGTTCTTTGCGCTTATGCTGCAGATTGAACGGCTCACTCTGATTGCATCTGACAGAGCTCTAATACGCCATGTGGCGCCCGCTAAGATGGTGAGAGAGAGTGAGAGGGGGTGTCCTGAGATATCGACGGAGTTTGCTGAGCCTGACAGTCTAGGGTGTGACGGAATCGTCTTCAATGAACTTCCAGACGTCACGGCTGAGGGAGTCTTCAAGATGAGGGATTCTTAACTTCCTCTTTCTCTCACGCTCTTCTTTTTTGTGGTAAATGGGCCGAATTGCCCCCCTATAGAGCCGAGAGATGATTCCCAGTTGTTATAGGAAAGTCCCATTTCCCTCCATCCTTTTTGCTCATCCACTCAACCGGCAATGGCATTTCAACTGGAATAATGTCAATTTGTTCAGTATGAAGCTCAGTCTTTTTAACAAGGCTAAGAGAGATGGCCTATTATATTCTTAGGGACTATTAGCTCCCTTCCACAACCTAGAGAGCTGCCTAGCTACCCAGGATTTTAAGACATCACCGGCACGCTCCAGATGTTAAGGTTGTTTCTAAATGTAAGATACCTTCTTTTGGCAAAACTGAAATGCTGCATGTGTCTTTTGCGGAGAAGACAATCCCAGAATGCAATGCAAACCATTTCATTCAATACAGTAAAGTATCAATAAATAGTTACCTAATATAAAATGGACCATTTTACAGAATATTTGCATATACTGCACATTTTTATGCTTGAGAGGATCAACATTCTAATTCAATATTCTCTTGTGTAGCACTTTTTTGCGACACCTGTGTATAGTATTCCAGATTAATAATTTTTTTTTTGTTTAGCCTCACCCTTGACTTCTCTTCTAGTCTGGTCATCATGACCACGGTGGCAGCTCGTTGTTCCCACACCATTCTCCAGAAGTCCCCGAAGGTCTCCGGCAGTGGCCCCTGTGTGGCTATGTATGCATTTTGCTTCCTGTAGCCGTCAATGTAGTTAGCATTGATGTAGTCGCTGCCTGTGATACCTTGAAACAAAGCAAGTAGGTTGGTAACTGTGAGAGCTAGAGCCAGAATGACAGAGATGTTCACTTTCAAAGGGACACATCATGAAAAAGCAGGATTTTGATTGATGCTATGCTACATAACACAAAGCTAACACAACGTTTATGATACAGAAATCAGTACATCATCAACATATGACCGTTCAGATTTATAAATGGACATGTATAACGGCCCTCATTGCACATGCAAAGAGTCTTAAAGGTATAGTAGCACAAAGTCTTGTAAAAAATACATTTGAGATGTTTTTGGTGCAAGAAAATGTGACTAACTTTACTTGTTGACTTAAAAAATGTGGTTTAATACCCCTGTTTTTAGAGAGTTCCAAAATGGCTGATGTTGCTGTGTGAGTCTCTTAACTTGTGAAAAACTTGCTGCTCCAATAACATGATATACAGTCACAGTCTGGAAAGAGGCTATTGCAGAGCTTGTGACAGATATCCATCATAGAAAATAATCCCCATGAAAGAAAAGCCATCAAGCCCCTTCGCAGCTTTTTCTCACTTCCTTCCAGCGTTTTCTGCCCTGACTAGCTCTCTGAGGGCCGGCCAAAAGCATCCTGATTTAGGGCCAGATGCTATACGATGGAATTAGGCTGGACTAGGAGTAAATCAGTGAGAAGAACCCACGCCGGACCCCGTCTCGCTTTCTTTCTGCCATCGCTCTGGGCGGGCCGCAGTAAATCTCCCATAAAGCAGCCAAACATTCTCCCGCCTAAGCTCAGGATCCATGAGGCGGCGGGAACAGAAGTAAAGCCCTTGTGCGCCACTGCTAGAGGTAACGATCTTGCGGTCTAGGTCATGAGACCTCTCAAAACCACATAAATATGGCCTTGGCTCTCGAAATTGGGATCTCAGGGTCTTCAGGGTTACTTCCCGGTCTGGATCTGGGCCTTAAAGGGGTTTAGTGTTGGTCTGAGTACCAACATGTAATTCTCAAAATAACCTTAATAATAGAGGTGATTTAACAAGCCAATTACAGGACGTGACAAAGAAATGTATTCATGAATTACAAGACAATTAATATGTATTAAAATATAGTTCTATATTTTTAATAATTTGAAATGGTATATATATATATATATATATATATATATATATATATATATAT